GCTGAATGAGGGCCGGAAGTGGGGCAGCCGGAAGCGGGGGGCGGGGCTTCATCATGTGCCCCGCCCCCTGTACCTCACCCGGGGGAACTGCAATCCCCCGCGTTCCCCCCCGAAATGACCTCTGATTGCGCTTATGAATTTTGCCACTGAAAGGGTGACACGATCATTGGTATCCGATAGTAGCCATGACACCTGGGCTCGCACATTTAGCAGTTCCATATCTTTAAGTAAAGGGGTGACTAAATTAGCCTTCAACTTATCAAATATAGGGAGAGCCAGTTTGGTGTAGTGGTTAAGTGCGCGGACTCTAATCTGGGAGAACCAGGTTTGATTCCCCACTCCTCCACTTGCACCTGGCTGGATGACCTTGGGCAAGCCATAGCTCTGATAACAGCTGTCCTTGAAAAAGAGCCGTTTCTGTCAAGAGCTCTCTCAGCCCCACCTACCTCACAGGCAGTGTTCCCTCTAAGCTGAGTTAGTGTGAGCTAGCCCACAGTTTTTTAGCCTCCGGCTCACACATTTTTGTCTTAGCTCAGGAAGGATGGCTCCAGAGCAAACTAAGTTATTCAGTAGCCAATTCACCTGCCAATTCACAAGCCATAGTTCTGATAAGAGCTGTTCTTGAAAAAAAGAGCAGTTTCTGTCAGAGCTCTCTCAGCCCCACCTACCTCACAGGGTGTCTGTTGTGGGGAGGGGAAGGGACAGGAGTTTGTAAGCCGCTCTGAGACTCCTTTGGGTAGTGAATGGCAGGGTATAAATCCAATCTCTTCTCTTCTTCTTTTTCCATAACCACATGTTCAATAGTTTTGATTGTATGATATGAACATCTGCATGTTCTATTAGAGTATGAAGTACTTTATTATGTCTGCCCTCCAAAACTGCTGAGGGAAGAACATTCAGTCTTGCCAAAGTAAAAGCTCTTCTTAGTTTTGGGACTGTCAATTGATAAAAATATTTTGGCAGTTGCATCGGGAGGGCAATTCCCAAATGAAGCGTCGAACATACCCTGTGTGCCCTAATAGACGTAACATCCAATTTCCTTGTAGATTTTTTAATTTGCCTTCTAATGTCTTTAGTTTCTGTATTTTTAATCATATCATTTGTTATTTCTAGGCATTTCATTTTCTTTTCCAATAGTTGATCCCATTGGCTGTTATGTGTATCTGCCTGGATAAGCCCAAGTAGAGTAGATCCTCCCTCAGATTTAAAAACCTTTACTTTAAAGAAAAATGCTTTAATCCAAGCCCTCACTTCCATCGATAATTCGCCTAGTTCCGCTCTCAGTGCTACGCCCGAGACACATCTAGGAGTAGCCAATAAGCGTCGGAAAAAGTCATACTGGATGGAATCCATTTTTTCAGAAGCGGCCTGAATCCAAATTTCCACACCAGACAGGAATTGATTTAGAACCTTAGCATTAAATACCTTTAAGGTTGAGGGGACAGATTGGCCTCATGATGAGTATTTTACAATTGTCTTCCCTACTCTCAAAACTGTGTTCAAATACTTTCCGTAGAGTGTTAGATATTAAGAGTGTCTGATCTGCCAACACTTCCAGGTCTATTTGTTGTTTCTTCCATTTTTTGTTTTTTTCCAGAAGTTCATCTATAATAGCAATGTAAGTAGGAGATTCTAAAGGAGGATCTGAAGAAATATTCAAGGGACTTGGGGGAGGGGGCATATCTTTGTCCCTAGGAGAAAGAGATCTATTAGAATCTTTTGTGACAAGAAAATTCTCCATCTTGCTCTGCTTAAAAAGGTAAAGGTTCCCTTGCTCGAAAGCCAGTTGAATCCGACTCTAGGGTTACGGTGCTCATCTCCGTTTCAAAGCCGAAGAGCCAGCACTGTCCAAAGACGTTTCCGTGGTCATGTGGCTAGCATGACCAGGGGTCATTTGGGGGGGACGCGGGGGGGACGCCATCCCCCCGGGCGAGGTGTGGGAGGGCGGGGCCTGGAGCTCCCTGCTGGTGCCCGCTGGAGGTCGCCGCCGGCTGTGGGGAGGAGGCGGGGCGCGCTGCGTTGGGTGCGGACGAGCGAGCAGGTTTCCCAGCCACCTCCCGGCTTTGCCTTTCCCGTCACGCTCGGTGCAGCAAGCGGGCGGCTGAGCGTGGGGGAGGGCGTGGGAGATCCCCTGCCTCCACCTTAGGAATGGGAACCCCAGTGATGTCAGGGGGCGTGGCCTTATGACACACTTCCGGTGATGTCAGGGGGTGTGGCATATGCTAATGAGTTATGCTAATGAGTCCCCCTAGCTCTTTTTCTACGAAATGACCCCTGAGCATGACTAAACACCAAGGCGCACGGAACGCTGTTACCTTCCCACCGAAGTGGTACCTATATGTCTACTTGCAGTTTCTTGCTTTCGAACTGCTAGGTTGGCAGGAGCTGGAACTAGAGATGGGAGCTCACTCCATCATGCGGCACCCGGGTCTCGAACTGCTGAACTACTGACCTTCCACATCAAGCGGGTGCACCCTTTTCCTTCTCATTTTCATATGACACTACACTACTAGATAGATAGCAAAAATATATTTAAAATCAGATCAATAAAATCAGTAAAATCAGTAAAGTATCTTTAATATCTAGCTAAAATCAGATTAAACTACTAAATTCCCACTACTTAGTTTATTATGCTAAAACACAAATCTGTTTAAATTAGATTAAAACCTAAAAGAACAGTAAAACCCTAAAAGCCTCAACTGGAATGGCCTTAAAAGGGTTGTCAGGGTTAAGGCAGTAATGGACCTTTAAAAAGAAAGAGAGAGAGAGAGAGAGAGAGAAAGAAAAGAAAAAAAAACATGGGGGGGGGGGGTAAATTCTTCCCAGTTTCCCTTTCCCTTTGGTTTCCCTCTTCTCCAGGCTACTCAAGTTTCTCTGAGCACTACGGTGCCTTCACCCTGCCCCACCCTGTCGTAGTCTACCAAGGGGAGGGTAACGGAGGGGAGAATATTTCTATAACAGCTTCTAGACCAAAAACAGTGTAAAAGTCTAAAAAGTCTAGAAGACAAGACCTCCAGGAGCTAACAGTAGCTGCACTGTAAAAGAAGAAAGAAAACCTCCTCCACACTCTTTGTAATATACATTATAAATTTGCCTAGATAAGAATGGCGAGGGAACTCTCGCTAACAGAAAGAAATCCTCCCTCTCTATGTTAACAAAACAAGATAAAAAAGCAGACTGCTTCAGTGGGAGACTAAAATCAGTTAAAACCAATTAAAATCATTAAAAAAATCATTAAAAACACTTATCTGACAGCCAAAAAGCGTCTAGTTGCGTTGGGCTGGAAACTGGAAGTCCAGCTGCTCGATTTGAGTCCAGTAGAACCTTGGAGACCAGTCTGACGAAGGGAGCTTGTTCGTCTCCAAGGTGCTACTGAACTCGAATGTCGCTGTTCTACTGCAGAGCAACACCGCTACCCTCTGAACCTTTCTCCGGGCATTACTGTGTCCTTTGCTTCTTTTGACACATTCCTTTCTCTACTCTACACAGTTTGGTGTAGTGGTGAAGTGCCCGGACTCTAATCTGGGAGAGCCGAGTTTGATTCCCCACTCCTCCACTTGCACCTGGCTGGATGACCCTGGGCAAGCCGTAGATCTGACAAGAGCTGTCCTTAAAAAAGAGCCGTTTCTGTCAAGAGCTCTCTCAGCCCCACCGACCTCACAGGCAATGTTCCCTCTAAGCTGAGTTAGTATGAGCTAGCTCACAGTTTTTTAGCCTCCGGCTCACACATTTTCGTCTTCGCTCAGGAAGCGTGGCTCCAGAGCAGACTCATTTATGCAGTAGCCAAACTGCTCGCGCACAACTTTAATGCCAGGATCTCACAAAGTAGAATTTTTGCTCACAGGGCTCCACAGCTTAGAGGGAACACAGGGTGTCTGTTGTGGTCTTTGTACTGGATTCAAGATATATGTTGTGTGATAGGGCTAGGGTTGCCAAGTCTATCTTTGCCTGGAGCGGGGGGCTCCCGGCCGGTGTCTTGTGCACGCATGCGCGCCGCACACATGTCACCCGGAAGTGACGGGAGGACGCCAGGCACGCTGGCACGTATGGCTGTGGTCCCGCCTCCAGCGTGCCCGACGTGCCCACGTCACTTCTGGGTGACGTGCATGTCGGAGTGGAGTTCCCCCCGGGGCCTGATCCGGCGCCGCTGGGAAACGGGCCTCTGGGGGGACTTGGGATCCCTAGATAGGGCCACTATGGCTTAGCTCACCAAATAGAGCAGAGTCTTGGGACAATGATGTGTTGCTTTGTGGAGGCTAGGCTCTTTGTAGGTTTTACCTGCTTGGTAGGATTTCGGTAGCAATGACCTTTTTTTTGCCCAAACACAGAGCAAAGTCCCTGGTTTAATGAAAGATATGTAATAGTGCAGGAGAGTAGAGTCCCAGGGTTACTATACTGACATATTTCTCTCTTCTTTATCCTCACCTTCCTGTGTGTGTCTGTGTGTTTTGTTTTGTTTCTGTTCAGTATTAACCCAATAACTGGACGAGTGGAGGAGAAACTTCCCAACCCAATGGAGGGGATGACAGAAGAGCAGAAGGAGTATGAAGCAATGAAACTGGTGAACATGTTTGACAAACTCTCCAGGTACAATAAGAGAGATTATCTGAAGATGGTTTTCGCTTTGGGACATGCTTAAAAGAGGCTTCTTGATTAGGATCAAGTAGGCTGGCATTCCAACTCATGTAGGCTCAGACTAGATTTTCCCCAGTGAATCATTCCTTCTGCAGCCATTGAGTGGGGGTGCAGCGCGATTCGGTTGTCTGAAAATGTCCAGGTAGCAGAGTGCTACCCTGCCACCATGGCTTTCGCAGACTTCTCAGTGATTATTACTCAATGGACTCTTTCAAATGACCTTGCTTTACTGGATTTCCATCATTCTGTAACTACAGGTCTTTCACTCCCTGACATCTTTGAAAAAAACTGGTTGTTGGAATTTACTATAAAATAATAACGAAGGTGAACATGAATTAATTTTCAGTTTAGTATGACTAGAACATCTGGGATCCCTTTTTATCACTTAGAATATTTGCAGACATTGATGAATGCTGAGTACAGGTGCCTTAATCCCTGACCTCCAGAACTGCACTCAGCCAGAATGACCAGGCTGTAAAGAAGGGCTACACACATCATCATCAAGCTTGCTTCTGCAGCCATAAGAGCTAGAAATTATATACATTATAAATTTGCCTAGAATTTGGAGACAGGGTGGGAAAGAGAGTTCAGGCTCAGTACTGTAGATGATGACTGTTCTGGGCTGGAAAACAAACTCATTGGATATACTTGGAGAGGCTAATAGCTCAAATAAATAGGACTTTCCTTTCCGTTCTTAGCAACTTTGGAACCTTTGTTGACCTGAGAATGCGTAGCTGAAATAAAACACAGGGAACCTAGGGCTATTATCTGCATTCTGTGCTGTACAACTCCAAGTGTAGATCTAATGGGTGGAAATTACAGGGGAGTCGTTACCGGCTAAATATCAGGAAAAGCGTGTAAGAGTAAGAGTGGTTGAGCAGTGGAACAGACTGCTTTGGGAAGTGGTGGATGCTCCTTCACTGGATGTTTTCAAGCGGAGGCTGGACGACCCTCTTTCGGGTATGTTGTAGGGCTCTCTTTCGGCTCTGCTCCTGCAGAGTGCAGGGGGTTGGACTAGATGACCTGCAAGGTCCCTTCCAACTCTAACATTCTATGATTCTATGATAAGTGCATTTGAGTGCTCCATAAAGTTGATTTTATGAACTCTGTTGAGGCCCCTGGGTAGTCACTAGTAGGAAGTACTAGTGAAGACACAGATAGGAGCGGAGGCCAGCAGTTCCATTTCCCTCCAGGTGTGTACGTCACAGTAGTTGCTCGTACATCATTTAAGAGCAGTGCAGGCAGAAGCCAAGGATCTACCTAAGGAGTTCAAAAGATATGTTCGTGGACAGAGAAAAAAGGGCAGAAGACAGGATGTTATTGCGGCTGCCACATGTTCGCAGTGTATATTAGACAGACAGAAATGCTACTCTGAACATTACAGTAATAACATTTCCACTCAGCCTTGCTTTCCCCTTCTCATGAACTTTGCATAACCGGGAAACACTATGAACTCCAGAGGCATTTGCCTGCTTGATTGATGGGGTGGGATTTTATAGCAGTCACTTCCTGAATCTTCTGTGCTCCCATCATGCTTCTATTTTAAAAAATAATCTTTAACATGGACCTGTCAGGAAAGGACATCAGGAGGTCAATGTTTGGTGCATGGCAGGGATGCCCATTTGACTAGTGATGCGACCAGAAAGAGGGCCTTCCCCTGCAAGAAAAGGAAAAGGAAACAAAACCAGTGGAGGCAAGACAGATTTATTAATTGGTTCCCAATTCCCCCAGTGTATTTGAAACATAAATATTCTTTTTAAGGGGAAGCTACTACCTGCACAAAAGAAGTTCTAATGGAGTACAGTCAGTTTAGATGTTCCATTGAAGTTTCTTGCACAAAACAAAGCTGATCTGTAGCCACGTATGAAGAGCACCACTTGTTTATGCTCAAAAAATCAAATGGAATATACAAACTCTCTCTCTCTCTCTCTCTCCGGAATACACACACATGTATATATATATGGAATACACAAACTATACACACACACACATATATATACAGACACAAATAGAGAGAGAGAGAGCAGTTATACAATTGTTCACATACTCTAGGGTAAACGAAGAGGTTAACTGGAAATCCTATGCAGGTGTACTCCATTCAAAGATCATTCATTTCAGTGGACATAGACTGGCATAAGTCTGCACAGGATTGCATGTTTTCTCTGGAAAACATCCATTTGTTGGGAAATTTGGGAAACCAATTTATTCAAAGTCTCGGCTTTTGCTCTTTGTGCCTTCTCTTTAACGAGAGATGTTGCCGCTCATTAAGGCCTCCTGACTGATTAATAGGATGCTGGGAAACAGTCGCCCTGACCCAGGTAGCCCGATCTCATCACATTTCAGAAGCTACGCAGGGTTGACCCTGGTTAGTACTTGGGTGGGAAACCAGAAAGGAGAACCAGAGGCAAGCAAAGGCAAGCCACCTCTGTTTGTCTCTCACCTTGAAAGCCCTACGGGGTTGCCATGAGGTGGCTGCGACTTGATAGCCCTTTCCACCAGGAGACAGGAAAGCTGTGGCAGGCTTAAGGAAGTGACAGAACACATAATTTCTCCTTTTAAGGGCTCCAGACGAAACCCCTGGCAAGCAAAATGCTGGCTTCCAGGGTGCTAAGTGTACACGTTCTGGGGAGGGGCTGTGGCTCAGTGGAAGAGCCTCTGCTTTACATAGTGAAGGTTGCAGGTTCAGTTCCTGGAATCTCCAGTTAAAAGGACCAGGCAGTAGGTGGTATGAAAGACCTCTGCCTGAGACCCTGGAGAACTGCTGCCCGTACTGACCTTGATGGAGAAGTAGAAGGCAACTCTAGGTGTTCAAAATCAGTGCCGGCCCATGTGATTGGCCAGTCAGAGGAAGGATTTGGAGGTGTGTTTTCATTGGCTATGGTGTGCATATCTATTTTGTGCTGTTTCCTCTAGCCCCACCAGATGGTGTGGTAGTATATGTCACAGCTGACATATATTCTTACTTCTCATAGGGCTGCTTTTGGTGGTAAATTTTCTAAGGATTTCTACCTGGGAACAACCCTCCCCCAATCATCTGCTGTTTTTTTTTTCTTCTTTCCCCCATTGCAGACAGCAAGTCATCCAGCCAATGAGTGTAACTCCAGAGGGCAATCTGACCGCTCTTGATTTAGCCTCAATAGAGGATGCTGTTCAACCAACAGATGAGGACAGGGCATCACATGACTCCGATCTGGCGTTGGACTGAAGCTCTCCTTTTCCCTAAAAACCTAGGGACCCTCTACTCTCCCTCCTTGGCCGGTGCTGTACCAAGAGACTAGTTCCAGGAAAGGATACTCTGTGGGCTGCACACCCACTGCCTAGGCCGGTGTGACATCTGCCTTTTCTCTAGACCTATAAGTACTGCTTCCCCAGAGAGCTCTTCACAGTTTGGTTTCTGTCTTGGTCTCTTCCCCTCAGTGTCCATAAGAATCTGACACACTCCCAGGACTTTCTAGTAGGAATTTTATGAAGATTGTGTAGGAGGGAGAGAGGGGAGGGCAGCCTCATTACACCGAGAGGGCTGTGAGTGCAGATACTTGCGTGAGAAGCAAATGTGGTTCTACATGCATAGAAGTGCATGTGTGTTTGCAGGTGGAAGTATGTGTTGATACTTGTGCCAAGCACATATGTAGCAACCATGCTTATGTCCTTCTTTTTAAGAACACGTGGATACACTGTGAATGTGTACACGGAAGAAAACATGGCTGGATATTCTATAGGAATGTGAGAACCAGGCTAAACCTGCATTCTTTTTTTACACGTGTTACATTGAACTGTATACAGCTGGAAGTTTACATGTGGAATGCGTAGGCAATCTAAGACACAATCACGGATGTACAGAAACATGTAGGTAAGTACAGGTACGCAAAAGCATACGTGGGGGATCTGAGAAACAGAAATGTCCTTTGCTCGTCCAAGCAGAGTTAACTCTGGGCCGGAAAGGCTTTGGCCCTTAGAGCGTTCACAGCTTTGTGCTCTGTTCCTCTTTCTACCAGTTTTCTGAACTTAGTCTTCTGAACGCCCCTCACCCTTTGTGCTCTCCAGACAAAAGGCAGTGACAAATTGCTTGGTTCTACTCTATCTGCTTCCATCCCGTGTGTCCACAGCACTGTGCATTCCGCTTTCACTGGTTGCATTTGGGTACTTGCATCATTCATTCTGATTTTAGACTTTTCCATTTGAAGAAGCAACCCCATGTTCCAACTTGTTTCTGCTTTACCAACAATTTCTGAACTTAGCACAAATAAAATGTTTTCACTAGGATAAAATAAATCTTCAGATAACAGTTGTGTGTGCATTGGTGGTCTGTGGCTTGCTGTGTTTCTGAGCAACCAGAAGCAAGTTTTGAGAGGAAGCACAGCTAAGGCCAAACTGGGATGATTCGAGACATTCTTCTCAAGTATGATGCAGCAGAGGTGAACTGAGGCTGAAACTGGTTTTGTACTTGAAACAAACTGAACTTCACTAAGGAGATTGAGGTTTTTGTGGGTTAATCTGCAGTGATCTGATAGTTGAGGATTCTGCCTGATGCCTGCAATTGGATGATGATCTTCCGGCCACCTAATTATGATTTAAGTACTACTGTACATTTTTAAATGTTGGAAACTGAATTGTTTCCATGAACAGCTTAGATTTGAGCTGCATGGCCAGCCTTATTCTGTGTCCCATCATCCACATAAAGGAGGTTAAAGTTCATGCACTCTTCCACGTACATTGCAATGGAAAGAAATGCTTTGTCTCTAAAATGACATTAGTTTTGAAACTGGTAAGGCAATGAATATTCTAGATAAAATCTTCTGTACTTAAATGGATAATGAATAAAAACAGAATCAAAATTAATAATCAGTGGAAGAATGTTGGTGTCTTTCAGGATTGGCAGAAAAAGAGTATATAATTTCTTCTAACAATGTTTATTTAAATTTGTATGAGCAGGAATTCCACAAATGTCACTTATCACTTGCCAGGTTTCTTTGATATCCAAACTGCAATATAGTATAAAACAAAGTATTTGAAACCAGTCACATAAATGCATCTTTTGACTTACAAATTAGCTGGTGCTTCACAGTATGTAGTAAAAAAAAAAAGTACTTCTGCTCTTCATTGGATTCAAATGCTATCTTATTTGAATGGCGTACCCAAACAAGAGCTTTCAGATCCAATATTTAAATCACATCTCCAGATAAACAAATCTGTTCATTTAAATCTGCTGTTAGAGGCTGTTAGCAAAAACTCCTTTGCCCTTTTAGAAAATAATTTGTTTGTTTGTTTAAATCTGGCCTCTGGCCTGGCTTTGGTGTTTCTTGGAACATATCTGCTGAAAACGGTATACAAAAATGGCTTTAATATATCCTATATCTTTAGTTATCTTATATAAACAGCAGTGTAACTGGACTTAGGGCCGAATGATGATGATATTACAAGTGATACCTCCCTTCCATTTTCTAATCAAAATTTTTACAATAGGAGAAGAATCAATAGTTCAAGTCAATATATGTCTTAAAAGTTTTCTACTCATTGGTGTTCAATGTATTCAGCAAAATTTCCTATATGTAAATAAATGGGATAATTATTTGAAGGATGAAAAATGTCTGAGGCAGCCATTAAAGATAAGTGAGAGATAACACAAGGGTAGAGGATACACAAGTTCCATCTTTTAATTCTGTTTAATTTGCAACAGAAACATTAAACAGACCACAGGATCATCGGTGAAAAGTGCTTTTATTCTGATTAATAAAGCTGCTGGGTAAATGTTAATTCAGATTAAAACAGCAGCACCAATACACCCTTAGTGCTATAGTTTGTTTCTAGTCACAACACTGTATAAACATCTCCCATTCTTCCTATTTTATATGTATGATACACGGCAAATGAACATCACATTCTTTTAAGAATCTCTTGGAAGCAGATCTTTACATAGTAGAACTCAACTACAGATTTTGAGGTTTACTTTTGATAAAGGCTGTGACAGCCATTTGACCGAATCTTGGCTGCTTAACAAGTGCAGAGGGGGAAAATGTTGGATTTGTCAGAAATGAGTAACAAGACCAGACGACCCTGTCATGGGAGGGAGCAGTCGTACTGAACATCCCCATCTCTGCCTCAGACATGAGATCTGGAGTATCTATACAAAAGCCAGTTCATAGTGTGCCATTTTATGGCCATTTCCAAAAAGCTTTGAGAACATGTACTGTCTCTGGGATTTGGAAGAAATTCAGGAGCTCTCCAAATACTGCTTCTTCCAGTGGCTACTTATTAGGTGATACCAGCATGGCCAGCATCTTTACCTTCAGGTCTCTGCTTGTATATAATGGCAATAGTTGGCTGGGCTGAGAGCTGCTTCTTTAGGAGACAAATGTTTCCAGCAGTAGAGGTCAAAGCTGCTATTTGCCTTTTGCATCCAGCTAAAAATAGAAAACAACATGTGAAGCCTGCCTGATCCAAAGTATATCAGTTCAAAAAACAACAGCATAGGAAAGGAGCAATGGTAATTGTAGGCCCTGGTCACACAGAGAATTTGCTGCGTGAAAGGCATGAATGTCGGGCAGATTTTTGGGGTGCGATCACACTGCAACATCTGGGAAGCGTAGCGCACCTGTGGCCAACCCGTGGCATCCCGCCAAAGATGTGGAGTTAAAAAGTACCAAGGAAAGTCCACTAGTATTCGGAAAACGCGCGGCACAGTCGGGCGTCTGATCGCGGGAGTGCTAGTATCTCATGGCATCCGGTGCTCGTCCATATCCCATCGCAAACCAGATGGTTTTCATAAGCGCATGCGCAGAAACACGAAACTGAAAGCAGTGCTGCTCTACAGAACTGCGCATGTCCACAAATGCGAAACGCTTGTGTGATTGTGCCGCGCCGCTTTGCCATGCTGCAGCAGCGCCGTGTGATCACCAGCTAACAGGCAAAGCACGGAGACTCGGGGGACCGTGTGATCAGGCTACTGCGCTTTATTTTGGTCCGGGGCGAACAGCCACGCCTCCCCCCCACATTATCTGGCCCGTGTGACCGGGGCCGTAATACAGTTTCCTTAAAAAGTAACACTGCTTCCTCCACAGCTGCAAATGAAATTATATCTATTAACAGAACTGCTACTATTTATACTTGCTGAATTTGCTCAGTTTTAATGCTGCCTTGCAAATTATTATGCAGAGGATGGGCATCTCCCCCCCACCCCAAGTCTATAAAAAAGCCAGTAATTCTGAAGGGCACAAAAGAAGAAATGATTGGTGAAACCACCACCAATGTCTGTCTTTACATTCAAAGGCAAGAAAATTCATTTTGGCTTTTACTCACTGAAGAAATACCTAAAGACTACATGTGGAAGAAGAAGAGATTGGATTTATACCCCGCCTTTCACTCGGCGTCTCAGAGCGACTTACAGACTCCTTTCCCTTCCCCTCCCCACAACAGACACCCTGCGAGGTAGGCGTGGCTGAGAGAGCTCTTTCCAGAACTGCCTTGAGAGAACAGCCCTGAGAGAACTATGGCTTGCCCAAGGTCATCCAGCAGCTGCAAGTGGAGGAGTGGGGAATCAAACCCGGTTCTCCCAGATTAGAGTCCGCACACTTAACCACTACACCAAACTGGCCACCAAGTTTAAAATCAAAATTTAGTAAGTAATTCTACAGCAGTGTCCTACTTCTAAACATCCTTACAACAATTGAATATTTTTGAGGCATGCACAGCTCCCTGCTGGCATCACCTTCCCAGTTTTCTCATCCCTGGATCCCTGTACACATGAAGAGTACTTGAGGCAGAGAAAGGCATCTCTGACTACTGGTTGTTGTTGTTCAGTCGCACAGTCGAGTCTAACTCTACGTGACCGCATGGACCAGATCACGCCAGGCCTTCCTGTCTTCCGCCGTCCTCTGAAGTTTGCTCAATTTCATGTATGACACTGTCTAACTATCTCATCCTTTGCCATCCCCTTCTTCTTTGACCTTCAATCTTTCCCAGCATCAGGGTCTTCTCCAGTGAGTGCTCCCTTCTCATTTGGTGGCCAAAGTATTTGAGCTTCAGTTTCATTATCTGGCCTTCCAGGGAAAAGTCAGGGTTGATTTCTTTTAGGATTGACTGATATGATCTTCTTGCAGTCCAAGGGACTCTCAAGAGTCTTCTCCAGCACCATAGTTCAAAAGAATCTATTCTTCGGCGCTCGGCCTTCCTTATAGTCCAACTCTCGCAGCCATACATGACTACTGGGAATACCATTGCTTTGACCATGCGGACTTTTGTTGGCAGGGTGATGTCTCTACTTTTTAGGTTCGCCATTGCTTTCCTCCCAAGGAGCAGGTGTCTTTTAATTTCATGGCTGCTGTCACAGTCTGCGGTGATCTGGGATCCCAGGAACGTGAAGTCTGTCACTACTTCCATGACTTCCCCTTCTATTTGCCAACGAGTGAAGGGGCTGGATGCCATGATCTTAGATAGGTTTCTCAAGAGACATGTGAGGTGGTCTGGTACTCCCATCTCTTTAAGGACCTGCCATAGTTTGTTGTGATCCACACAGTCAAAGGCTTTAGCATAGTCAATGAAGCAGAAGTAGATATTTTTCTGGTACTCTCTTGCTTTCTCCATAATCCAGCGAATGTTGGCAATATGATCTCTCGTTCCTCTACCTCTTCGAAACCCAGCTTGTACTTCTGGTAGTTCTCTATCCACGTACTGTTGAAGCCTAGCTTGTAGGATCTTGAGCATGACCTTGCTAGCGTGTGATATGAGTGCAATTGTGCGATAGTTTGAACATTCCTTGGCATTGCCCTTCTTTGGGATTGGAATGTATACTGATCTTTTCCAATCCTGTGGCCACTGTTGCGTTTTCCAAATTTGCTGGCAAATGGAGTGCAGAACTTTAACAGCATCCTCTTCTAAGACTTTGAATAGCTCAGCTGGGATACCATCACCTCCACTAGCTTTGTTGTTAGTAATGCTTTCTAAGGCCCATTTAACTTCACATTCCAGGATGTCTGGCTCGAGGTCAGTGATTATACCGTCGTGGTTGTCAAGGACATCGAGGTCTTTCTTGTATAGTTCTTCTGTGTATTCTTGCCATCTTTTCCTAATCTCTTCTGCTTCTGTTAGGTCCCTACCGTTTTTGTCCTTTATCATGGCCAGCTTTGCATGGAACGCTCCCTTGATTTCTCCAACTTTCTTGAAGAGATCTCTAGTCCTTCCCATTCTATTGTTTTCTTCTATTACTTTGCACTGTTCATTCAGGAAGGCCTCCTTATCTCTCCTTGCTGTTCTCTGGAAATCTGCGTTCAGTTGGGTAAATCTTTCCTTTTCGCCTTTGCCTTTCGCTTTCCTTCTTTCCTCTGCTATTTGTAAAGCCTCATCAGAAAGCCATTTTGCTTTCTTGCATTTCTTTTTCTTTGGTATGGTGGTGATTGCTGCCTCCTGTACAATGTCACGAACCTCCGTCCATAGTTCTTCAGGCACTCTATCTATCAAATCCAGACCCTTGAATCTATTCTTCACCTCTACTGTATATTCATCAGGGATGCGATCTAGGTTAAACCTGAATGGCCTCGTGGTTTTCCCGATTTTCTTCAGTTTAAGTCTGAATTTTGCAATGAGTAGCTCATGATCTGAACCACAGTCAGCTCCAGGTCTTGTTTTTACTGACTGGATAGAGCTTCTCCATCTTTGACTGCAAATTATATAGTCAATCTGATTTCGGTGTTGCCCATCTGGTGATGTCCATGTGTAGAGTCGCCTCTTAGGTTGTTGGAAAAGGGTGTTCGCTATGACCAGTGTGTTCTCTTGACAAAACTCTGTTAACCTTTGCCCTGCTTCATTTTGCTTTCCAAGGCCAAACTTGTCTGTTATTCCGGTTACCTTTTGACTTCCTACTTTAGCATTCCAGTCCCCTGTGATGAAAAGGACATCATTTTTTGGTGTTAGTTCTATGAGGTCTTCATAGAACCGGTCCATTTCAGCCTCTTCTTCATCAGTGGTTGGGGCATAGGCTTGGATTACTGTGTTGAATGGTTTGCCTTTGAATCGGACCGAAATCATCCTGTCATTTTTGAGATTGTATCCCAGTACTGACTTTTGCACTCTCTTGTTGTCTATAAAGGCCACACCATTTTTTCTACGAGATTCCTGGCCACAGTAGTAGATATAATGGTCTTCTGAGTTAAATTCGCCCATTCACTGATTCCTAAGATATCAATGTTCAGTCTTGCCATCTCATTTTTGACCACGTCAACCTTACCTTGATTCATAGATCTTACATTCCAGGTTCCTATGAAGTATTGTTCTTTGCAGCATCGGACTTTCCTTTCACCATCAGACACATCCACAACTGAGCTTCCTTTCGGCTTTGGCCCAGCCGCTTCACTCTTTCTGGGGTTACTTGTACTTGCCCTCTGCTCTTCCCCAGTAGCATATTGGACACCTTCCAACCTGAGGGGCTCATCTTCCAGCGTCATATCTTTTAGCCTTTTGTTACTGTCCATGGGGTTTTCTTGGCAAAAATATTGGAGTGGGTGCCATTTCCTTCTCCAGTGGATCACACTTGGTCTGAGTTCTCTGCTGTGGCCTGTCCGTCTTGGGTGGCCCTCCATGGCATAGCCCACAGCCTCATCGAACCACACAAGCCCCCTCGCCATGACAAGGCAGTGATCCATGAGGGAGCCTTGAGGGGGGTGATCCAAGGCAGGTATCCATGATTATGACCTTTATGTAGAAAAAATCAACTTGTGTATTATTTAGAAACCTAGAGTTTATGCAGATATTTCTGGATCTAAAATTGAAAGCATATGGCTTGGTACAGAGAAACTCCTTCACGTTTCATTGCAAATGGAAAGAAGAGTAGTGCAAAGAAAAAACAGAGGTGTGCATTTTGACACTGCTGATTAGAGTCCCTGACAGAGTGGACGCATTGCTGTTCTTGCAGTTGCAGTTCTAACATGATGCCGGAGTCATCCACTAATCCCAGTTCTGGCACTCACCATAAAAACAATCACATAACAGATCCCAGACATGTAAGGCTCGATTCTTGATCTCAGCCCATGGCTCACAGTCTACACTTGTAGATGAGCCAGCCACTGAATCTAGGACCAGCCAAAGACCTAGTTTGTTGTTAGACTTGTAAGGTGGTTTATTTATACTATATATGTGTTTTGTTGTAACCCACTCTGGTGAGAAGAGCAGGGTACAAATATTTTAATAAATACATAACATTCATCTGGAATGCAATCCATACTATTGACTCTGGGAGACAATGAGACGGGCACTGAGATATATAGACTGATGAAGAGTTAGTTACGTGGGCTCTGTTATGTTGGTTGTTCTTTCAGAAATCTTGCTATTTGACGGACAGACAGACAAACCTTTATTGGCATGTAAGAGATAAGATTACATTAAAATTTAGGAATACATCAAAAGTATGGCTGTCGAACAGCCAACAAAAAAAGAACCGATCAGTTAATAGTTTCCATGGTTCGAATTACAGATCGAAGAAAACAAGCAACATTAAAAGTAGCAGAAGCGTTTTGCCCAGAGAGTAGCACTTGGACCTTGAATCTTGCTATTTGTTTGCACTCAGACTTTGCAAGGAGGAGGAGGATCACTGAGAGTTTTAGACCAAGCTTACATACCTTTTCAGCTTCTTTCTTGATTAGTTCCTTCAACTCCTCCTTCCAGCCCAGAAGGGCCACCACCTTCTCCACTCCACTGACAACATCTCCCAGTTCAGCTACATCATTGTACTGTGGCTGGTAGGCAAATGGCCCCACCAAGTCCCGATTGATCAGTAGGCGTGGGACAGAGCTGCCGACTGCACCTGCCAGACTGGCAAAAGGTTCCACCTAAAATCAAACACCAAGGGGAAGAGAAAGACTGCATCTGTCCATAAGTAGAGGTCACTAGGACTATACTATGGCTGGCAAGAAAGTCATAGCACTTCATTATCAGTTCTTGCTGAGATGCAAGCAGTCAGGCCTCAGACGTTTAACTGAGCAGTAGGCATCTGAGCTGTGCCTCAGCTTCCCCATATTGCCAACTCAAACATTTATTAAATAAGAAGGCTACATGTGAGGGAGGGGTATCACAGCCTGCAGACTGAAATAAAACTATCACAATTCTTAAAACAACAAGATGTAACAGTTGTCGTGAGCACTGACAGCACAAATATTTCCGTAATCTTTACAACTACTCAGTAATACTCGCAAGTGTACTTGCAAGACCCTATCGCTTAACACGGCATAGTTAACTCACGGCTGAGTCAACATTTAAACCCAAGACATCTTATAACTCATGAAAGTCAGTGTGCTATAGTGTTTAAAGTGTTGAACTAGGCTCTAGGAGATGGGATGACCTTTGGTCAGTTACTTTCAGCCTATCCTACCTTATAAGGTTGTTGTGAGGATAAAATTGAGAACAATCTAAGACTCTTTGAGTCCCCATTGGGGAGGAAGGCAGGGTATCAATAAAGTACATAAATGCTACATTACACCAGGTAGACTCTTTTATCTTTCAGCTACTAATTGATAGCATTCCAACAGTGACTAGGGAGATGCCCAGGTGGCTCTTCCTTGCTTAGGGAATCAGGGATGCTGCTTCATTACCTCTGATTCCTACAACACATATATGCAAGTGTCTTCAGCCTGCACTGGTCCGTCATCAGTTAATACTATTTCTGATGGGGACCAATTTGGACCACAGTAGGTCACACACTGGGCTTCCCAGTGTGACTGCAGAGATGATTATGTTGCAGAGGGAAATTGTACTTACACTTCCTGTGTTCCTGGCTTGCACAACCTACTCAGTTGGAAGCATGACTAGTGATTTGGGAACCATGCTTAGATGTTAGCAGTCTATGCTCCTTGAACTACGGCCCGTTTCCAACAGGTCAAGAGGATACTGTTGGTTCCTGAACTGCCACCCTCCATTTCCATTTGGACCCTCATTGCTTACTCTGCACTTTCCAGATTCCCTGAACCACTTTGTCTCAACACCCCAGCTCTTGTTCGCTTCCCATGTTCATGGTAGCCCAGACCTCGAGGGAGGTTCCAATGACAAAGAGCAGGTCTGCCATCTGGAAATCTGCCACGTGCAAGAAGAACCGATGGGGGAGCTCCTCTCCAAAGAACACAATGTCGGGCTTGATGATTCCAGTGCATACGGGGCATTTGGGGATCTGGTCAGCCATCACATCTGCCTGAAATGAAATCACTGTTCATACGTACGCATATACACACACAGGGCTATTTTTGGGCAGGAACACACAGGAACGGAGTTCCGGCTGGCTCCTGAGTTGGCCACACCCAGCAGGAACTCACTAGCATAATAGGCCACACCCAACAGCAGAAACTCATTAGAATTGGCTACATTAGGGGTGTGTGGCCTAACATGCAAAGGAGTTCCTGCTACAAAAAAACCCCTCTGGGTTTTGACAACAAAGTAAACAGAAGAAGCAAAAGGTGGGTGTGGCTGGATGCCCACACTTCTGGTAACATGGAGGTGCGGCCTAATATGCGAATGTGCTGTGCTGTCAAGGGTGTGGCCTAATATGCTAATGAGTGTCTGCTGTTGGGTGTGGCCTGTTATGCTAATGAGTTCCTGCTGGGCTTTTTCTACAAAAAAAGCCCTGCACACACATATAAATCAACGTTCAGGCGATACAACCCACAGTGTGACATCACATCAATCTAACCCATGCCTTGGATCCTAGTCACTGTGCACCAAACGGCAACAAAACCAAACACAGCTTCGTGAACCCTCCCAAGCAAGAATCTTGGTACAAAATGGCAACACAACCCAAACCTCCTCAAGTCCCGCCGCAGCTCGTCTTCTGTACAGCCAACTCACCCTGAAGTCCTCACCAGGGTATGATCTTCGACAGACTGTGCAAGTTGCGGAAGCAAATGTACCGTGAGCCTCAACTAGTTTATCTGCAGGTATCCCAGCGACTAAAACATAAAAGGCAGAGGGAAAAAAATCATCTCAGCTGAAACATTTCATCAGACCAAGGTTAGTGAAGTAGATGATAAAAGTCAGTAAAGCAGATAGTCACCCAAGACCTCATCCTTGAAACTGTCCCCCCCCCCAATTGTTTATTTATTGCCTCTTTATCCTGCCCTTCCTCCAAGGAGCTCTGGAAATAACTCTCCGCTCCTCCGTTTCACCCTCAGGATGACATGAGAGGTAAGTGGGGGCCAGTCGCACTCAGTCAGCTTAATATCATTCGAATGAGCTTCATGACAGAGGAGGGAATTTGACCCCGTGTCTTCCTGTTCCTAACCACACCACACTGGTCTCTTCCGGTTTGAGAGGAGGGGCTAACCTCGCTCCAGTCCATCAATGTTCTGTGTGTACAGACGCAGGAGAAGCCCTTTGTCAAGCAGAAGCCGGAGGAAGTAGTGGGCATAGTTGGGCCTGTAATTGCCAGGATACAACTCCTTGGCCAGCATGTAGAAAGGCTTAGGATTCTGGAAGAAATAGCTAAGTTCAAAGATGGCTTCTGGATACGGGATATTATACTGCTGGAGGTTATCATAGAGGCCGCTCTTAGGGGACCTGCAGAGACAAATAGGAGATTTAAATTTAGGGGGAAACATGTAGGAAAACCAAACATATTTAAAGTAATTGTATATTTTTTAAAAAATTGGGCCCTCCTAGCTGTATGACGACTTGTCTGAGAATTTTGTGTGGCAGTATTTTCCTTCAGGAGAATTCATGTTTTAAAGGAACATACAGACAGTAACAGGATTAGGGCCCCTGTGTCTCAGGTTGGTCACACAGAAATTTATTAGGTTCAGACAGTGGTTCACAAACTGGATTGGGATCCAAATGTGGGTCATGACTCACTCACATGCAAGGCCAGGAGGGAGAAGAAGGCTCCAGGGTGTTCAATGACAAATTTGGGTTTCACTTCTGCACAATGTGTGAAATGACAAAAAAATATAGTGTGTTGCTCAGATATACTTACGAATACTTAAACTGAACAATATAAACTTGTTCAGAGTTAAGAGAAGTTGGATTCTAGTGTTTTATCTGGGGAGGGAGTCAATCCACTCTCAGCCTAATAGTCTTTTCATGAAAGCTTTCTTAGAAACAGAGATTTAGATGTGCACAAGAGAGAACTCTTGTTCAGACTAAGGAATAAATCAAGGGTTAGGCATTGTATAGGTAATAGATCATGCAATGGTCATGCAGCGGGCATGCACTCCCCCACCCTCTTTCACTCCCCCTGCCTACTACCCCGCACTACAAAGATCAGGGCTATTTTGGGGCAGGAACGCACAGGAACGGAGTTCCAGCTGGCTCCCGAGTTGGCCACGCCCAGCAGGAACTCATTAGCATAACAGGCCACACCCAACAGCAGAAACTCATTAGAATTGGCTACATTAGGGGTGTGTGGCCTAACATGCAAAGGAGTTCCTGCTACAAAAAAGCCCTGGGTTTTGGCAACAAACAAGGTAAACAGAATAACAAGCAAAAGGTCGGTGTGGCTGGATAACCACACTTCTGGTAACATGGGGGTGCATCCTAATGTGCTAATGAGCTGTGCTGTCAGGGGTGTGGCCCAATAGGTTAATGAGTTCCTGCTGTTGGGTGTGGCCTATTATGCGAATGAGTTCCTGCTGGGCTTTTTCTACAAAAACAGCCCTGACAAAGATTATTATCTAGCAACAGATGTTTCTTCAAGGATGAGAGTCTCTTGGGGCTCGTTCTCATGGGAAAGTCGTTACCAGCAAAGCTAACCTGACACCCACATACACACATACAGATATAAGGCATTCACACCTACTCCCCCCCCCCATCCCTCGGAATCTTTATGGCAGAGAGGGCTGGCAAGGGTTGAGACCAAATGGTCGAAAAAACGAAAGCAAACTTCAAAGACAGAAACAAAAGAAAACATTAGTCAACATGACAATCAGCAGAGCCCGATTCTGACACAGGTGAGTTGTATTTTTTCAAGACCCACTTGCAGAGCTACTCCATTCTACTTCTAAATGCCAGGTCAGTCACAAGCAAAACCATCCATAATTCTGGATGAGAAGGCGTACCACCAAACCTGTTCCCTGCCTGAGCTGGTGGAGTGATGCTGAAGACTCCTAGGCTGGTTGTTTTGGGGGACTTCAACATCCACCCTGAGGCTACCTTGTTGTTGTCATTTTATAAGACCAACAAAAGTTTATTCAAGGTAAGAGCTTTCGTGTGCATGCACACTTTTTCAAATGCTTTTTTCAAACAGCACATGTTAATCTGCTGTTCAGCCTCTGCCTATATGTTTTTTATTTTAATATTAATTTTATTAATAAGTATGATTAAGTACAAATACATTTAGGACCATACATAACAATCAACTGCATTGGAAAGTTGTTACAGAGGGAAGTTACAAATGGGTATCAACAACAAAAGGCTTAACAAAGTTGAATAAGTATAAATTCATATAGAACCGTATTCAACAATCAACTGTATTAAAAGGCTGTTACAGAGAGAGGTTACTAACATATACAAACAGCAAAGGTCTAACCAAGTTGGATTAATCAATACATAGCGCTTATAGCTTCTAATGTAGATTCAAATTTCTTTTGTGATGCAAAGTATTCTAAATTTGGGAATCACACTTTAACAAATTTTGAGGAATAAGGTTCCATTTCACTTTGTGTCAAGGAGTCTGATAAATTATCCATTATACAATAGTACTTAATTTTTAATAACCAGTCAGAGATCGTAGGACATTTATCATTTTTCCAAACCCTAGTGATAACTGCACGAGCTCCCGCACAAAGTATTTCTATCAAATCTGAATTAGGTGGATGTTGGTTTGCATCTGGCCTGCAATTCAATAAAAGAAATTCCATTTTCACTGGTATTTTAAAGTGGGTTATTTCATATATATGTTTACTAACCACTTTCCAAAAGTCTTGTACTACGTTACAATCCCACCAGAAGTGTTTATATGAGCCCGTTTCTTGACATCCTCTCCAGCATAATGGAGAGGTATCCTTTATAATATGGCTCATTTTTTGAGGAGTTAAGTACTACCTTGCGATTACTTTAAAAAATTGGGTACAAATAGATAGGCTTTTTGCTCTGAATATATGGGAGTTCCAAACTTTTTTCCATTGATCTGAAGAAAGTGGGTTACAATCGTTCTGCCAGTAAGTGGTATAAGATGGTAGATTATCAACAATGAGTGATAAAATTTTGTACAACAAAGAGATGTAACCTTTATAGGTTGCATGAGGATTTTTAATTAGCAGTTCAACTGGTGTGAGATTTTTCTGTAATTGAGCCCGCAGATCTTTATTATTTATACAGTGACTAATCTGTAAGTATTGATACCACAATATCCCTCTTTTACCTTTGGTTTCCAAAGTGGATTTGTCTAAAATATGACCATCTGATGTGATGTCTATTAATCTACTAAGTTTCATTTCGGTCCAAGCTGCAAAGGATGTGCCCAAGTTAGCTGGAGGAAACCAATTTTGTTTGATAAAGGTTGATAAAGGGGATATTGTAGGGGCTAGTTTATTTCAATATTTTCCCCATATCTTTAGAGTACAGGATAGAAAGGGATTGTTACGTAAAGAATGTGGTCTGTCTTTTGCCTTATTCCATATTAGTTCTTGTAATGTTCGAGAATTGGAAAAAGCCTATTCTATAACAGTCCAACCTAGTGTATCATCAGAGTGTGCATTTTGATTAAGTTAGTAAGGTGGGTTGCCTCGTAATATAATAGCAAATCCAGAAAGCCAATGCCACTTTCCTTGATGTGTTTGCGTAGGGTGTAGAAGCTAGTTCTACATTTTTTGAATTCCCGTAAGAACTTTAGCAGGGTATTCTGCCATATTTTAATATCCTGTAGAGGAATGGTTATTGGTAGAATACGAAACAAGTAAATAAATTTTGGTTAAATGAAAGATTTGATTAAATCACAACGTTCTATCCATGTGAAGGGAGGTTTTTACCATTTTTCAATTTTAGATTTAGTTTCTTTGTAAAGTATGCCAAAATTGTGTTAGAACATGAACCCCCAGATGTCTCCTAGAGTTAGTTACCCATTTGAAATTCATATAGAACCGTATTCAACAATCACCTATATTAAAAGGTTGTTACAGAGAGAGGTTACTAACATATACAAACAGACTGTTTGTATATTGTAAGACTGTTTGATAGAGTCCCTAAGTTCAAATGGAGTGTAGCTGGGGTAGATTTCCAATTTTGATTGGTTGAGTTGTAACCCTGATATTTCCCCAAAATTAGTCAGCTTGTCATTAATGTTTTTTAGGGATTTGCGTGGGTCTGTAAGGTATAGTACCGTGTCATCGGTGAAGAGGCTTATCTTAAAATATTCATCTTTTATAGTAACTCCTTTAATTTGGGAATTGTCACAAATCACATTGGCCATGGGCTCCATTGTAATCACAAATAAAATAGGTGACAGGGGACAGCCTTGTCTCATACCTCTGGAGGGGGGGGGGGAGTTTGAGAAAAGGCCATTGAAACGAACTTGAGTTTGTGGAGCTTCGTATAGTGTATCAAATATTCTAAGAAATTTCTCACCAAATTCCATGGATTCCAGTAGGTATCTTAAATATGTTATTTCAAGTGTATCAAATGCTTTCTCGATGCCAAGAGATAATATTATAGAAGTCATTTCTGTTGGCAATAATTTATGATGTTCAAGGATATGCAGATATTATCTGGTATATATAATTCTATTTTGGTTATGGACTCCCCTGAACATTCCAACACGCTCCAAAATCAGTTCACTCTCTGATCTGTCATTCAGAGGGTCTCCCTATCCACTGGCTGCTTTGCCTGAGTCCTGCCTCCAACATTCTAAACAGTTTGCTCTTCCTCTCCCCCCCCCCAGCCAGTCAGAACACAGAGATCATTTGCATATGTGGCCTGATTCGCTTTTGCCTCGGAACACAGAGGTCGTTTGCATATGCGGCCTCACTGGCCTTTCCCTCTAACATTCTAAACAGTTTGCTGTTGATGTTCTGAGGTAAAATAAATTTCCCCTTAGTGTCTGTTGGGGGAAACCATGGTTTATATTTTAATTTTAAAAGTTTTAACGTTTTATTTTAATGATGTGGGAACCCGAACTGGGTAGCAAGCAGGACCGTAGCCAGGATGTTTTTTTAATTCAGGGGGCCTTTAAATAAGTCGGGGGGGGGGCACTGACATCACAAAAAGAAATTAAAAAAAAAAACTCAGGCTCACCGGTTGGAGCATCTGTAACTGCTCGGAGTCAAAGAGGCTGCTAGGTTTCCCTGTGTAAATGTGAATGGAAGCAGTTCCTGAGCACCCAGGCATGCGAGACAGCTCTGAGCGCGGCAGCCTGACGCGGGCTGGCCTGCTCCCGCAGGAAGAAGGCAGGAGGACCAGCAAGCCCCCACAGCCCTGTTCTGCCTTCGGCTTCTCCTGCTCCCTCGGGGGAGGAGCCTTCGGTGGGTCGAGTCATTCCAACGCCAAAATCCTCCTTCTCTCTCTTGGGAGTGGCAGCCTGCAATCCCTAGCCCTGTTCAGATGGGTGACTGAGTTTTCTCCATTCCCGAATGTAGAGCAGGATACAAAAAGACATCCTCCCCCTTCTCCCCCCCCCATCCCCAGACCACAATGCAGATCTACAGGGCTCGCCCAAGCCTGCGGGAAAACAAAAGGGACAGCAGCAGCAGTGGAGAAGCAAGCCGTGCTTGAGGAAGGGGCAGCAGTGGCAGGCCTGGGCTAGATGGAAGTCGGGGGGCTATGGGCCTTGGGGGACAATATGGATAATTCTGAATACACTTTGCTGCTTTTAAAGGTTGGGAGAAAGTGAAGAAGTGATTGACCTAGTATAGAAAATGGGAGATATGGCAATTGTCTCTTTTCAACCACAGATTATTGTTTATGAAAGGTAAAATGATGGATGAAAAAAATCCAGAACCAAACTCTTATAGAGGCCTAGGCCAGTCTTGTGAATTCTACCTTCTTTTTTAATTCTTCTGCAGCAGAGCTAATGGCCAAACCAAAAGGGATGGCCTTGCATTGAGGCAAATGCAAACAGGGGCCAAGTGTGAGGGGATATCATGTGGGAATAGGAAAAAGTTAAACGGAAAGCTTCTTCCCCTCCTTATGATGGTTTAAAAAAAAAAAAAAAAAAGAACACAGTCCATATGCTGCTCCTGCTGCCTGCTTCTTAAGGCTGCTTCACATGTGATATCAACAGTTATGGTGGCCACTGAAAATTGCTTCTGCAGGGTGAAAACTCCATGGTGGGCTGTGTTATAGGGTTAACTTTTTTACCCTCTCTACCATTGTTTAGACTGACATAGGCCCCGGTCACACGGGCAGGAAACTGCAGAGGAGAAGCGTGGCTGTTTGCCCTGGGGCAAACTACTGCGCAGTTACGCGATCAGACCTCCTGTGGAGGTCCTGTGGAGGTACCGTGGAGGTTCCATGGCAAGGGAGAGGTGCCGATCACAGGACAAGCTGGTGCACAACGAAGAAGCGCGCAAACTGTTGTTTATTTTTGTGTACATGACAAATGCGCATGCTCCGTTGGGTGCGCATGCGCATCCACAGAGACTTGGACAAAAAAACCCCACCTTATTTGCAAGGGGACATGGGCGGGCGCCGGATGCCACCGGAAACGCGATCAGACGCCCGCCCTTGCCCCGCAGTTTCCGGAAACTAGTACCTCCAAGGTACTAGTTTTTTGCCACGCAGTTTCGGCTGGAAGCCTCGGTTGAGCCACGGGAGTGCTACGCTTCCCAGATGTGCTGGTGAGATCGCGCCCGGAAACTCCGTCTGTTTTCCGTCTCACTTGTGTGGCTTCTGTTACGTGTGACCGCAGCCCTGGAAGGGAAACCTGGCAGACAGCCAATGCAAGAAAAGCACGCAAATGTTAATGGCATTGATTGGTTACTGGTTTCAGGTGACTTGCTTTCTAGGGGTCAAGAAGAAGGAGAGTCTCCATTGTTGTGTACTTGTTGTAACCACGCTTTTGTAGAAGTAGGATGAGACAATGTAGCTCTACGATATGTTACTTTGTAGGTTTTCCTGCATGCCTTTCCCCCTTAGAAATAAAGCTTTCTAAACAGAGAGAAATGTCTCCTCTCCAGTGAAGCAAAGCTCCATTGCAAACTCTGAGTAATTAAGTATTTCTGACTATTTTTACCAACAGGCTGAAGGTAATGTTTGTAAATGGCTTCCTGTAGATGATCAAGTCAAGAGGGTAAAAGATCCTGTGGCACCTACCTGAAGTCTGGGATGCCGCTGGGAGTGCTCAGCCCCGCTCCAGCCATCACGACTATCCTGGAGCATTTTTTCTTTTGAATTAGTTCTGTCACGTCCTTGAGGGTGAGCTTCACTTTCCCACCACTGTTTCCCCCTCTGCCAACGCCAAAGAATACCATTGGAGCGCTGGATAAGGAAAAAGTCCTGGCTCCTTGGAACCTGCCGGCAAAGATACAAAAGATTACTAAGAAGCAAATACACATTTTATTCAGCAAAATGAAATTATTCTTGCTGTGTGAAAACCTCATTCATTCATTCATTCATTCAAATTTATACCCCCGCCCTCCCTGCCGAAGCAGGCTCAGGGAGGTTTGCATGAATTAATAGCAATGGGAAAAGATAGGAAGTGGGTCTTCCAAACTGGTATTTGTACACGGAAAGAGATATTCTTTGATTTTTTGAGTTATGACTATGAATAATCTCAGATTAATTCAGAACTGTAGCTTCACGAGCTTTCTAAAATTAGACAGGGCAATTTCATACAGAATTAAAACCAAGTCACAGAAATGTATGTTTTTTTCATAAGTATCTGTAGTCTCTTGTTGCCAGAAGCTGAAACTGCATAATAAGGAACAGGTTAGTACATAGCTGAGCCAATAAGAGACTCGTTTCACTTCAGCCAAATTCAAACACATTGAAGTTTTACTGATTTCAATGGCAGGATCAAGCACAATTTTTTTAAAAAACCCATAAAAGAATCCAGGTGACTCAAGCAACTGAGCCAAACCAAGTTACAGAAGAAGACAAATCCAAGGATCACTAACAAAATGGATGTGGATGAAGTTAAAGTCCTTACTGACCACAAATATAGTGATCAGATAGAGCCTAAACTTGACAAACGAACGAACAAAAAAGCAAACCAGCCTGTTAATCAGGTTTCCTGACAGGAGAACCAGTGTTCACTAGGGGTCTTCATCACCACAGTAGGCAGGGACTGCTGCTGGTAGGAAGACATAGACACAGACCCCAGAATTTAACTGATACGAATTAAGCAGTTTATTGAGGTACTACGTATTAACATGCTACAATAGCATAATAAAATCCATACATTAAAAACAAATAAATGGCAAAAAGCCAGGAAGTGGAGGGGACCACACAATGTTAAAATGGTGACATAAACATAGCACGGAATACATGAATACAAATTATACGAACAGAGAATGCGTAAACTTCTACTCAGGCAGCATGACCAGTCCTCAGTAGAAGACAGGATGGACCGCAAAAAAGTTAATATCTACAGTTAAGCACTGCAAAGACAACCATGGAATGCTACAAAATAATTCAAGAACCTTGAACATAAGAGCAAAAATTTAGCACATGAAAGCTAAAGCCGTTCTAAACTGGAAATCACTTTTGCCTCTCTAATATGCTGTAGCCCTTCTGAGTTACAAGTAAAGTTCCCAGGTACTAAGTATTACAAAGCATTTTCACAGGTAGCTATCGAAGGTCCAAGGTCTAGGACACCTGGATGAGATCCTGCAGATAGACAGACCCGCAAAGGGTCTAGGAGACCAGGAGCATAGGACCTTCCCAGACTTGTCCTCCTGATAAGTAACCACAGAATTGCTTCGTTTAGTAATATGTGGAATATGGGCACTTAGCTTTAAGTGAGAAGAGCTAAGGGACTGGAGGGAGGTCAAAGGTTGCTTGTCAGCTTCATATCTTTATTTTTATGCTTTCGGATTTGTTTTACAAGTTACCATGAATGTCTTTGCAAAGCATAATGGTTTATGTTAATCTCTTCCATTTACTGAGGGCTGGCAATAAAGTCTAGGTACAGACTCACTTATTACTTGTTCAGCTAGTTCCTATTTATGTGTCCCATATCACTTTTCATAACCAGATGTACCTTTTTGTTTTTTTCTAATTTCCTCACCTTTTTACCATATATTCTGGTATCGTGCATTTGATCATCACGCTTGTGTACACATAGGTAAAGGTAAAGGTTCCCTTGCTCGAAAGCCAGTCGAATCCGACTCTAGGGTTGCGGTGCTCATCTCCGTTTCAAAGCCGAAGAGCCAGCGCTGTCCGAAGACGTTTCCGTGGTCATGTGGCCGGCATGACTAAACACCAAGGCGCCCGGAACGCTGTTACCTTCCCACCGAAGTGGTACCTATTTATCTACTTGCAATTTCTTGCTTTCGAACTGCTAGGTTGGCAGGAGCTGGAACTAGAGACAGGAGCTCACATGTGTACACATAGTACCTCAATAAATCATTTGGTTCGCATCAGTTAAATTCTGAGTCTACACAGATATTTTCCTCCAAGGCCCCCCCCCCAGTACAGAATTTCTTTTAGGGGGCTTTAGCATGACATCGTGTGGTTCCCCTCCTTTCCAGGTTTTCTATGGCTCTTGTGAGGGTTTTCCCAAACCTGCTTTAGT